TTCGCCGACGATCATCAAAATTCTATAATTTGATTGGCTGTGATCACGTGAAATTGCCCCCGCTTTAGACGACCCCCAAATTTGGTATATTCCTAGACTGAAATAGATAATAGTAGTGAAGTTAAAAAACTACAAGTACTAGTTTTCAGATTAAATATAAGCTATTGAAAAAATAGTTAGATCAGTTATAAATATGAATATTGAAAGGTTTTAAAAACAATATCTTGAGGATAAATCATCATTAGTGATAATAGTCTTAAGGGAATAAATCAAGAATTTGAAACTTTTTAACTAAAAATATAACAAAGATATACTAGTAATACAAGTAAAATTACATTATAGAGGATTTAAATAGATAACATCTGTAGTTTGGATTATAGATATAGATGTAAAATCTATAATGTAAGTTATAGGTGAACTACTTAAAATAGATACAAAAAGTGTATATATAACTAGTATATACTTTTTAATATAAGAGGTTTCTTTGAGGCTTTAGCTATGAGCCCCTACTCAATAATACTTAAATAAAAATCTTAAATTCAAAAAGACTAGTTAAAAAAAAAATAAAACCAAGTAATAAAATTTATTATATGATTTGAGATATTTCTACATTTAGCAATATTATTGAAAATACTATTTGTAACATCAAACAACCTTAGTTTATATCTCAAAATATAAGCAAAGCTTATAATTTTATTATTTTATAACTTTTTAAAAATCTTTAACAAAAATTAATACAGTATACTTTCTAAACTTATCAATATTCTTACTAATCTTCTAACCAACTATCACAATAGAGTTATAACCAATTTTGATCTTACTTAGAATTATTAAAGAGAAACAATCATTTCTATTCTAAAAAACCTATTATAATCCCTTTTAAGCAAAATCGTATCACACTTCTCAGGCTATACCATAAGCACATTATGGAAAACCAACTTACACCCACCCAAAAGTAAAAATTTTCAAACATCGGTATCTGTCTTAGCCTGAATGGATGCAGACAATCGTTCCAGACAATTAGTCATATGATGATTTTTCTCAGACACATGATTGTCCCAACACCTTTTACTGTGACAGCCCCAACTACAAATACGTAACTATATAACACTTAAATAAAAAAGAAAAAAAATATTAGGTAGTCTAATTTTAATTGTATAACCAATTTTTTTTAATTGCAATCTATATAACAAAATAATCAATACCACGGGTTAATTTAAATAAAATCATTCCTATCGTTATTACGCTAATGATTTAAATATAAATATGCATTGCAAAAATATAATATTAAAATTAAAAATTCTTTGTGAATTTACATTTCATTTTTACAAATAATTAAATTTAGTATATATTATCGGCTTTATAATTTATAAAACTTTGTTTATAATCTAAGTTTTGATGTGTTTTTTTGTTTCTTTTATATGAATTCACATTTAAAAAAATTCTTATTAAAAAAACTGCAGTGAATGATTAAATATAGACAAGTGATATACACAAATTAATTGATTGTCTCACTCGTGTCACAAATGCAACCGCCAAATCATAATTATAAAACGATTTCAATTTAATTTAAAAGAATTTTTCTAAGTGTTATTCTGTCGTTATTCCGTCCACATCATTCTCTTTTTCATCTTTAGATGCCTTATTTTGCCAAAGACCATAACTTTTCCCGGGCGTTGTCTATCAAGAAGGAAGGTATTACTAAAATACAAAAGACGATTTATATATTTTTATTTTTAAAAAGCTTCTTACCTGCCACAACCTTATAGTGCCGTCCTCTAATTAAACACAAGATTGTATAATCACGTCAATTTAAAATTATAAAAAATTTATAAAAAGAAAATTTAAATATTGATTTGATACAAAATATATACCTGAACCAGTAGCATAAATTTCACCATCGGGACTGTAACTCACTGTATGAATCGGACCGTGGTGACCCTTATAAAACTCTGAAAGAAAATTGATTTATAAAGCTGAATAACTCTAAAAAGTGAAATGATACACGTATCGAAATTAATACGAACCGAGTTCTTTGCCACTCTCAAAATCATATATTCTCACGCATAAGTCACTACTTCCACCGGCTACAAATCTTTTATGATCAGGATGTAAAGATACTGAGGAAACATCATACGCTGTTGGGAAAGATTTAGAAACTTGGTAACTAATAAAAGAAATTAACATTAGTTATCTATCGATGTTATTATATAAAAAGAATAAAATAAAAATAAAAATAAATAAATACGTTGAAGCATCCAAAAAGTAAACAACCTTGCCAGCTGTACTTGTAATATATTTTCCGTCAGCTGAAAGTTCCATACTCGTAATAGGATGTTCAGCTTTAAAAGTGTTAATTTGATTAAAGCTGCGAAGGTCCCAGATACTAACAAATAGGAGGGTATTTAAATGTAAACATAACAGCTCTATAATGAACAGTTTATTAAAATTTAGTAATAATTAACTCACCGAATCTCTTTGTCATCACCAGCACTCAGTACAACATTTCTTTCACCGTCCCAAATAACGCTTTTAATAGTTGAATCGTGTCCCTCTGTTTCCATGGCAGCATTTTCTGGTTTATTTAAATCAAATATTCTTAATTTCTTTTCTTGACCACCAGAGATAATGCGCGTTCCATCATCCGAAATGTCAGCTGAACGTACAATGTGCCCATGGGAGTAAGAATAAAGCACGTCACCAGTATAGGTGTCCCATACTTTTCTATTCCCACGATATCGAATTGATAGAGTTAGATTATATACCGCAGAATTGATGAATCAAATTTAAATCAATTTAAATCAGTATCGATAAATTGCATACGCAGTAAAATCGGCAGAAGCTGTGACAGCTTTAGAGGCATCCTTGCTCAATTTAGCACTCCATACAGCACCTTTATGACCCATGAAAGTACCTATCCAATCTCCAGTAGGGCCATCTCTAAGCATAGGGTTACCATCTAAACCACACGTATATGAGTTAATCCTTAGTTCTTATAAAAAGTGTGGGGGCACAACACAGAATTAAATGAATAGAATACCTTTACAAGCACTTATTAAATAATAAGTGCCATCGGTGATGGGAGAGAATTGTAAATGCACAACAGGACGAGTGTGCCCAGAGCATGTTAAAGGTATAACCCTAGACGGGTTTGAATTTGGAGTTTGCGGCGTTGACATTGTTGAAAATGTGATATGATAAACTAATATGAAATAATAAATATAATGTACAATATGAAATCGTAGTGAAATTTTTTAATATGATAATTGCTTTCCTTCCAAAAGAAGGAATGTGTAGATTTCTCATCGTTATTATCATAGCATTTAGGGGTCACGATGCAACAGATTATGGTATAGGAAGACTTTCATGTTATTGGCTAATTTATGCCGATCAAAATGTGATAACAGGCCAATCAAATCAGTTAAAAAATAAAATCCGTAATTTACTGGTTTTTTTTTTTAATAAAAAAAAAATTTTTTCTGCTCCTACTAACATAATCGAGGGCGCAGTTGTGGTCGATCTATAATAAAACTTTGATTCATAATACTACCGAATGATTACGTAGTAACAATAATACAACCCAAAAAAGGAATTTTAATTTTGTAAATAACCAAAATGCGTAAAAAGCTATAGCCATAGACTGTTATTCATATGTAAAATTTCGTTTCCTTCTTTCGCACGTGTTGGAATTTCATGTCGAGCTGATCAAAATTCGAACTCACTAATTGGTTATCTCCTTTTTAGGAGTTTGTATTACCGACACAAATAAGTAAAGTCGGGCGGGTTTTTTACAGCTGTTTTCATAAATTCTGGGACACTGATAAATGATTTTTCGGCCGATCCGGTTATTATTTCGGCACAATAGATTCAACAAAAATTGATGCGTACGTACGTACGTAAAATTTTATACCAGATACGTACGTACGTACCTGAACCTATTATGCCGAAATAATAACTTAACTGGATTGGCCGAAAAAACATTCGGATAATTTTTATCAGGTATCCCAGAATTTATGAAAACGGCTGTAAAGATCCGTCCCGAACAGAAAAACTCGAGAAGTACATATGCAGACTCCACATATAATTTATTTATTTTAGTAGTTTCAGACGCCGACAAGAGACCTAAGTGCAGCCAATCAACGTGCGTAATTTGATTTCAACGGACCCGGACTCGAACCGGGAGACGGTTACACTCGATTATCGATTATGGGCGACCCAGATAGAAATGTTACCCGATATACCCAGTCAAGTTATACGTAGACGAATTACAAGATCTCTTGAACAATGTGCGGCATGGTCACTTTCCTCCTTAGATCCAAGATATAAGATTTCAGTATCAATATATTGGAGGTTAGTATAATGAAACAAATTCTTTCTAATTACCGTATTTTCGCGAAATATAATCAGCCCCTATA